CCCAGGTTCAGGGGAGGAAGGAACCTGATGGCCTCACATCCTCCCACTAGAGTTCATGGTAGGCCCAAAGACCCGCGCCTTTCCGCCATGAAGTGAAAAGGTGGCGCAAAAGAGAAAAATAAGTGTCAATGTGCAAGAAAATGGCTGGGCCTATGGACTTGGTATAAAAAAAAAAAATTACCCGATAGGCCTAGGCCCAAAAAGGCATGCCGAGTCATTTCACACAGTGGGGTCCCAACCCATAGTGCTACTCTGGTACCCCCAGTCCGTGGCCTGACCAGCTAGACCATTCAAATCAGGAGGAACTGGCCCCCCTCGAGATCCCAGCACTAGGGAAGGGTTCCCAACCCCCACCTCACCCATGGGCACTTCATGGAATCACGAGGTTCCAATTAGGCATCCCAGCAGCGAAGGTGGGCACACCGGAGGCAGGTTCACTTTAAATTAGGGAGCATGGCGGGCCGGATTCATGTGTAAGGTTGTATAACAAACATAAATAAAACGGCAAATACACACACTTAGGAAAAAAAAAAAAAGGCTTTAATTTCCAGCCGGGAAAAAAATGGGAAACTGCGATAACGTTTTCCTGGTTATATCTGCAAATGACTTTAAGCCGATCAGATGTCATCAGGAGTCGGGAAGTCATTGTTTCCTTTGAAGAGGGAAATCAGAATCTGCTTTGTATGTTATTTGTATTTTGTTTTCTCTGGATGGAATTCTGAAGATGGGAAAGTGTTTTATTTTAAGTTGTCGTCACCCCATCTGGGGTCCTTACCCTCGTGAGTCAGGCCCGGGACATACAGCTTATGTCATGACACAAATGTTATGGAGGTGACGAGATAAAAAGCGCTCGATTGTCCTTTCACTGAACATGAATATAATCGTACTATCCGGGCCGTAGATTACTGATAAAATGAGCTCTCACTTCCTCCCTTCCACCATGATGATGTGATATCCAAATTTCGTTTTTACGGGAGGATCGGTGTACACTGGTTTGTCCATGGTGCTGACCTGGAGAGCAAACGCCGCCTCCTGGAAAGGTCCCACCATCGAGCCTCTC